TGGTGCTTTATCGAGTTCTTTATTCCTTCATTTGGTACTCAGGGTTCCAGGATTGACGTTTGTTGCGTTTTACTTAGTTTTTTAGGTCTTTGGTGCAGAGGGACAGCATGGTGCTTCTGTCTACAGTGCCATGTTGGCTCTGCTGTATACCTAAATTTTTATAGAATTGTTGTCGTTCGGTGCCGTCAGTTCCAACTTATAGCGACACTAACTATGAAAGAACCAAACACCGCCCGGTGCTACACCATCCTCACAATCGTTGTTAACGCTTGAGCCCATTGTAGCAGCCACTGTGTCAATCTGTCCTGTTGAGAGTCTTCCTCTTTTTCACTGGCCCTCTACTTTACCAAGCTTGATGTCCTCCTCCAGGGACTGGTCCTTCCTGATAACATCCAAACTATGTGAGACGTACTCTTGTCATCCCTGCCTCTAAGGATCATTATGGCTGTACTTCTCCAAAGACAGATTTGTTCATTCTTCTGGCAGGTCACGGTATACTCAATATTTTTCACCAACACTATAGTTCAAAGGCATCAATTCTTCTTCAGTTTTCCTTATTCACTGTCCAGCTTTCACATGCTTATGAGGCAACTGAGAACACCACGGCTTGGGTCAGGCGCACCTTAGTCCTTAAAGTGACATCTTTGCTTTTTAACACTTCAAAGAGGTCTTTTGCAGTAGATTTGCCCGATACAATGCGTTGTCTGATTTATTGACTCTGCTTTCATGGGCGTTGATTGTGGATCCAAGTAAAATGAAATCCTTGCAACTTCAGTGTTTTCTCCATTTATCATGATGTTGCTTATTGGTCCAGTTGTGAGGATTTCTGCTTTCTTCATGTTGAGGTGTAATCCATACTAAAGGTTGTGGTCTTTGATCTTCATCAGTAAGTGCTTCAAGTCTTTTTCACTTTCAACAAGCAAGGTTGTGTCATCTGCATATAGAAGGTTGTTAACGAGTTTTCCTTCAATCCTGATGTCATGTTCTTCTTCATATAGTCCAGCTTCTCAGATTATTTGCTCAGCAAACACTGTATTAAGTATGGTAAAAGGATACAACCCTGATGTACACCTTTCCTGATTTTAAACCACTCAGTATCTCCTTGTTCTGTTCAAACAACTCCCTCTTGGTCTATGTCCAGGTTCCTCATGAGTACCATTAAGTGTTCTGGAATTCCCATTGTTCACAATATTATCCATAATTTGTTATGATCCACACAGTCAAATGACTTTGCATAGTCAATAAAACACAGGTAAACTTCTTTTCAGTATTCTCTGCTTTCAACCAGAGTCCATCTGACATCAGCAATGATGTTCCTCATTCCATGTCCTCTTCTGAATCTGGCCTGAATTTCTGGCAGTTCCCTGTCAATATACTGCTGCAGCTGCTTTTGAATGATCTTCAGCAAAATTTTACTTGCGTGTGATATTAACGATACTGTTCGATAATTTCTGCTTTCTGTTGGATCACCTTTCTTTGGAATTGGCACAAATATGGATCTCTTCCAGTTGGTGGCCAGGTAGCTGTCTTCCAAATTTCTTGGCAGAGACAAGTGAGTACTTCAAGCCCTGCATCCGTTTGCTGAAACATCTCAATTGGTATTCCATCAATTCCTGGAGCCCTGTTTTTTGCCAACACCTTCAGTACATACAGCTTGGACTTCTTTCAGTACCATTTGTTCTTGATCATATGCTACCTTCAGAAATGGTTGAACTTCAGCCAATTCTTTTTTGTACAATGGCTCTGTGTATTCCTTCCATCATCTTTTGATGCTTCCTGCGTCATTCAATATTTTCCCCATAGAATCTTTCAATACTGCAACTCAAGGCTTGAAATTTTTCTTCAGTTCTTTCAGCTTGAGAAACGCTGAGCGTGTTCTTCCCTTTTGGTTTTCCAACTCCAGGTCTTTGCACATTTCATTACAATACTTTACTATGCCTTATCGAGCTGCCCTTTGAAACCTTCTGTTGAGCTCTCTTACTTCATTATTTCTTCACTTTGCTTTAGCTATACTACGTTAAAGAGCAAGCTTCAGAGTCTCTTTTGATAACCATTTTGGTCTTTTCTTTCTTTCCTGTGTTTTCAACAACCTTTGCTTTCTTCATGTATGATGTCCCTGATGTCATTCCACAGCTTGCCTGGTCTTTGGTCATTAGTGTTGAATGCATCAAATCTATTCTTGAGACGGTCTCTAAATTCAGGTGGGATATACTGAAGGTTGTACTTTGGCTCTCATGGACTTGTTCTAATTTTCTTCAGCTTCAACTTGAACTTGCCTATGAGCAACTGATGTTCTGTTCTGCAGTTGGCCCCTGACCTTTTTCTGACTGATGATATTGAGCTTTTCCATCATCTCTTTCCACAGATGTAGTTGATTTGATTCCTGTGTATTTCATCTGGCAAGGTCCACGTGGATAGTTGCCGTTTATGTTACTGAAAAAAGGCATTTGCAATGAAGAAGTCATTGGTCTTGCAAAATTCTATCATGCGATCTCTGGCATCGTTTCTACCACTAATGTCATATTTTTCAACCACCGTTCCTTCTTTTTTTCCAACTTTCACATTCCAATCATGAGTAATTATCAATGCATCTTGATTGCATGTTTGGTCAATTTCAGACTGTAGAAGTTGGTAAAAAATCTTCAATTTCCTCATCTTTGGCCTTAGTGGTTGGTGCATAAATTTGAATAATACTTGTATTAACTGTATTCCTTGTAGGTATATGGATATTATCCTATCAGCGACAGCATTATACTTCACGATAGATCTTGAAATGTTCTTTCTGACGATGAACGTGACGCCAGTCCTGTTCAATTTGTCATTCCCGGCATACTCGACAACGTGACTGTCTGATTCAAAATGGCCAATACTGGTCCATTGCAGCTCACCAATGCATAGGATATTGATGTTTATGTGTTCCATTTCACTGCCGATTACTTTCAATTTTCCTAGATTCATACTTTGTACATTCCACATTCCTATTATTAATGGACGTTTGCAGCTGTTTGCCTCTCATTTTGAGTCGTGCCACATCAGCAAATGAAGGTTCCGAAAGCTTAACTCCATCTACGTCATTAAGGTCAATTCTACTTCGAGGGGGCAGCTTTCCCTCAGTCATATTTAAGTGCCTTCCAACCTGAAAGGCTCATCTTCTAGCACTATATCAGACAATGTTCTTCTGCTATTCATAAAGTCTTCCACTGGTTAGTTTTTTCAGAAGTAGACTGCCAGGTCCTTCTTCCTAGTCTGTCTTAGTCTGTAAGCTCAGCTGAAGCCTGTCCACCATGAGTGACCCAGCTGGTATTTGAAATACTGGTGGCACAGCGTCCAGCATCACAGCAACACGCAAACCACTATAGTATGACACACTGACAGGTGCGTGGGGTTTATACAATTAATATTTCTCAAAACATATTTTTTTGAATGAATAACACCCCCCTCCAAAAAAAATCCAAACCTATTGCCGCTGAGTTGATTTATGACTCATAGCGACCCTAGAGGGCAGAGAAGAACCGCCCCATAGGGTTTTCAAGGAGCGGCTGGTGGATTCTAACTGCTGACCTTTTGGTTAAGGAGCTGCAGCTCTTAACCACTGCACCACCAAGGCTCCTGAATAAATAACAGACACTACTAAATACCTGAATTGTTTAGCTCCCATTGGGCTAAACGTCTAGATAAGAGTCACTCTACCATTTTCTGTCTAGGGCTCTTCTGCCACCAGCACATCCTCCATAAATCTTAGTGTAGGCATAATAGTGCAGAAATCTCAAAATGAATGTTAAGTTCACACTCATTAAATCTTAAGAAGTAATTAATTTGAGTTTAGTAATGGCCATTCTACTTCTCCGCTATTTACAAGCCTACTCACAGAATAAATAACAATAAAAAAAAAACCAAACCTGTTGCCGTCATTCTGACTCATGGCAATATTAACAGCAACAAACATTTGTATAGCAAAGCTCTTTCATGAACATTATCTCATTTGATTCTCACAACAACTCTGTACGGATAAAAAGCTAGATATTATTATTCTTTCTATTTTACAGATAAGAAAGCTAAATTTCAGTAATGTTAAGTAATTTGTCCAAAGTCATATGGTGGAGCTGTGGCTCAAACTCAGCCAGACAACCACAGCATAAAATGACATTCTTCCCACTTACATCATATCATTGAACCTAGACATTATTATGATTCCAAAAAGTTAAGATACGTTGAAAATCTTACCTTCAGTGACTAGCAGCTCATCTTGAAATGCTTCAGCAAAATTAATGTTCTGCAACAGACTATGTTCTGGCAGTATCTGTTGTATAATCCCTGGTTTATGCAACAGGGCTCTGCCAGGAGAGATTTAATTCAAACGTGGTTTTGCACATAAAATGGCCTTAATTAGGTTTTCATTAGTGCATTTGGCAAATCCTACTAACAGCATGACACACATTAGTATGGTGCTCTCAAACTCTTGTTTTGAAAGTTCCCTTACAAGGTATACATGGGGGTAAAATTATCATAATTTTAGTTAAATATAAACATCAAAACAAGAACCCCCTAATATAAGAGTAGAAAGAAGAATAAAATTAGATCCTTTTCAGGTCTTCCATTTTTAATATTTGTGATAATATGGTCCCAGTTAGAAATTTATCTCAGAAAAAAAGAATATGCTAGAAAAATGATACAAATAAGGCATCAGAGGGAAAAATTTAAATTACCACATAACTGTGTTTATCTGGCCTCTTCCAGGGAATCTTTACAACACTCATGTTCACAAACAAACGAAATCTCATTGCTGCAAATTTATGACAAACAGAATTTCTAAAACAGTACAGTGATTTCTATAAACCAATAGAGAGAAAGGAAAAAGAGAAAAAAACCAAAGCAAAAAAACTGGTAATCTGATTTCTCCAAATATCAGTTTCCATTTCTATTCTAAAATATTTAATTGGAAAACAAAACTAGGTTAAAAGCTGACATCTTCACATTTGGCCTGTTCTAGCATCAGGTAGCAAGGAATTAAGCTCCTTCTTTTTAAACATTCCAATGATCCTCAACAGATTTAAAAAAAAAAAAAAAAGACAATTTCCAAAATTCTGTATCAGAATAAAATACAGCAGAGCACAAAGGGTTGGAAGTAAAGAGTGGTATATGCATCCACATACCCTCCCCTGTTGGGAAGTTAAGCTAACACACAAAACCTCCTGAGCTGCATTTATTTATATTCAAGTGCTCTAAGGCTAGGAAATAGTATTTTATAATGAAAGAACCCAGAATTCAACACAGTAGTATTTTATCTACGTTTAAGTCCCATCTAGACCTAAATCAATATCCTAAATTTGCCAACACTTCAGAATATTAAGCTATATTTAAATCAGATGTATCAAATTTTCTAAAAGAACATGCTTTAAATACCATAGTTAAATATCCTACATATTTCTAAAATATGATCTTTTCAAACAATTCATTGCACTTCCAGAAATATTCCAAATTAGTCAGGTGTGTTTATACAACATACTATTTCAGTAGTTCTTAAATCTTTTCTGAAATTGATCTACTGTCACTTGATATAGTCTCAAGAGTACATTACAAAAATGGCGCTGTTCTGAAGCATGATGAGCCTACAGAGCAAAAGAAAAGACAACAACACATATGCCCAGAAAAGAAGGCACCCCGCAAGTAAAGAGAGGACCTGGGTTTCCTATAAGCATCTGTTCCTCACTTTATGGTAGCTTACCAGCCAAAAAATTTTACCAAGATTTTTAATCTACCAATTTACTAATAAACAATGGAACATGTTCTATAAATTCAAAATCCCAAAGCATTTAAGCCTTGATTATTTCTACTAATAAAACAGTCCACAACATTCTCTAAGTAACCTACCTTCGATACTGCTGTCTTGAAATTTCATCGCCACCAAAGAAGTATATAGTTGATAGTTCTGTTGTAGTCGTGTAACTGCCCTCTCTGTCTGATGGGTTATATATTATAGTGACATGCTGAGCCAAGGAAAAAATCCAGGAATTACTTTAAATCTATTTTCTTGAATAAGTAATTTCATTCCGAATAAACTGTCTTATGAGCCTAAACATTCAACATACAGATGTGAATGCATATGTATAGCATTTCCAAGTGGATCAGAAAATAAATAAGCATTCAAATACTAATATCTTAGCTTCTGGCCATAAAATATGTAATTATTAATTTACTCTAAAAACGAGTTCATATTTTTAGTGCAGAGACTTTTCTGCTTACCTGTTGTGTTCTTTCCTTGAGCACAAA